CTTGAGAAACGTACCTATGGTATTAAGCATAACATACACACCTACCGTCAGCCAACTAGCTCTGGTCCCCGCTGTGTCCTCTGCCATAGTATTCGTGGTTTCCTGAATTGGGCGCTGGCTGGCTACATTTTCGAACGTTTCGCCGGCACCGTCAGTGAGAGGCGCCATGGTAAGCACAGTTACAGCTTATCAAAGTGACAAGTCAGATTCAAACAGTTTACCCAGAGTTACTTACGGGCTAACGCAAGTTCGGCTATCCAAGCAGGTGCAGTGCAAAGCGAATCCCTTCACAGAAAACTTCTCAGGCGCTTCTTCGAATCCTGCATTTTCTTCGCGAATGACAATTGCATTTCCGACAATAAAGCGAGTGGGCTCCAAGACGCCATAGAATCTCACTTAGTCTTGCGTCCCTGAAGGTTTTATTAACCAAAATGGACTGAGATTTTGCCTTGGTTATATCATTACAAAAATCAATCTGAGCCAGATCATGTGTAAATGTGCGGCTCGTCACGACCCGACAGCATCAGAATTAAGTCATATTCGTGAAAAATACATAGATCTCTCATGCCTAACCTAAAAGAACGAGAACAAAAGCACTGCCACAAACAGTGGTGTTAAAACAAAAACCAATCTGTGTAACTCAATTTGACTGCATTGCATTCAATTCCGCAAAGCAGCTAATGCACGCGATTTCATATAGACAGAAAATTTGATTTTAACTCCATGACTTTACGACCTCATAATTACCATATGAAAAATGTCACCACCCAAAGCAAGTATAAAGCAAAAAAATGTGTAGCCAAAGAAAATTGCTCTTCTTGAAGATAGATAAAGCAGAATCAATAGAATGAATATCAAGGAGCAAAATCTAATCGCATGCTCTTATTCGCCTTTGCGTGCCTAACTAGAAAAACAGATATGTATGCGCGCATAGTTATATACAAATGTACGAATGGGAAAAGATCTCAAAGGATTTCGATAAAATAATGCAGAGGGAGATATGGGCACGCGATGCCAACTAAAAATGTTTGACTCCCCCTTATTTTCTCAATCCACTTGCTGTCTTAACCCGCCTGACGTCAGTAGGACTCAAAATACCTTATATATGTTCAAGAGATTAACGAAATCAAATCGCGGAACAAAGTATGCCCCGTAAGTCGCCATAATGCAAAGACTAACGAAACTTAGCTTTACTTGTTGCATCAGAAACTACATCGTATTATTGCCTTTGTTTTCAAAGGATCTAAACGGATGCAGTTAATTTTTAAAATGAACAAAACAGCAGAATGCACAAGCATTTTGAGAGAGCTGAAGCCTACACAAATGGCCAGTGATAGCAAAGTCGCGAGAACGTATAAAGCAGAATAAATGATTCTAGGACCATTAGGGGCCCTATTCTACTAATTAATGATATATTTAAACCCATCTACATTGAGTTTTGCAAGAGAAATGATAAAGCAGTTTAAAATTTATTGAAATCACAAATCAACACCAGCTTCTTTGGCCAGATCAAGGGAAGCGTGGAAGGCTGATAAAATTTCTTCTTTTATCGTTTTGCATAGATTTTCAATACCGTTTTTATGATTACTATGGGCATCCACAAATCTCTAAAATTAAAAAAAGCAGTGTCATATAGTTGCATAAAAGAATAGCAACGAAATTTGAAAACTTACTTGAAAATTAATATTAAAAGTCTCAAGCTCAAGAGAAACCTGATCAAGGTATGAATCGAGTTCATAGTTCTTTTGAGATAATTCGGTCAAATTGGTCTACAAATAGAAAAAACCACAAGTTATATGCCACAAAATTTCCCCATGGGTACACAAGTAAAATATCATGTGTAATTGAATTTATAGCTAGCTTACCACAGAAATGTCCAAGGTCTGCCGCTTTTTCTTAACTTCGGCTTCTAGTTCTTTGTACTTGCTGGTAACTTCTTGCAAAACAGTTTCTTCTTTCTGTCGTTCTAGCTCCATGTTTAAATTAAATGCCTCTAAACGCTGTGAAAACAGTTTAGAGTCTTCCTCCATAGAATCAATGGAAGATTTATATGAAGATATTTGCTGATTCTAAAAGAAAAATGCGACATAAAGAAGGATGAATAGTAAAAATGTGGATACCCTAAAAAAGCACACTAATCATTTAAAGATGGATTTTCCAGACCTGTATATAGTAAATTAAATTATAATATTATACTCAAGAACCAGATTTGACAAACGAAACTACTAGAAATAAACAATAATCCTATGGTCAGACACCTTTGGATTTGGGCACAACCTAACTATAGTTAAATATTGTTAGGGGGACCTTCATTTGGTATGAAAATGCATG